AAAATAAATTCCTAGAATCAACTATGGTGATGGTTAAACAACCATCTTTTGAGTTTATTTTATGGAACATGAGCTAATAACTCAACACAGTTACCAAAATCATACTAATAATTAAACTATACCTGTTCCTAAATAGGGAAACATTTGTGTGTAAATTGAACAACATATATGTATATATACATATATATGTTTCATCTTACAAATTCTGAAAGTTGATGAAAGAAATTTAAAAAATAAACATAGAGTAAGGATTACCATGTTCATGGACAGAGAAGCAAAACCATAAAATATCACAAACATATACCAGCACAGTCCTGTAATAGACTACTACTCTACAACAGAACAGGAATGAACTAGTGATACACAAACACTTTGGAGAGATCTCCAGAATAGGATGCTGACTTTAAACAAGAAAAGAAAAAGCCACGTTCAAAGGACACATTTCCACAATTCCACTTGTGTAAATTTTAAAGTCTTCAGAATGACATATACAAGCACAAAGCAGATTGATTAGTTGTTCCCAGGGGATAAGAGACCCTGAGTGGTGATGAAACAGTTCTGTTCTGTATATGAACAGTGGTAGTGGTTAAACAAGTCAATACATAAGGACAAGCTGCTCAGCATAATACATATACACAGATGAGTGCAAGGAAAAACCAGGGCACACTAAGGTCTACCGACTAGCATGGTAATATCAACTTCCTAGTTCTAGATTATACTAGTCACACAAGGAAGGAATTACTAGAGAGAAGGTAGGTTAAGGGTTCAAGTACTACTGTATTACTATTGTGCCTATGCTCACTTCAAAATTAAAAACCAAAAGCAGTGAGATTAATATTGTGAAAATGGCCATCCTACCAAAATTAATTTACAGATTAAATACATTCCCCATTAAAATTCCAGAAAATACTTAATTTTTAAAATTATGACCAAAGTTCAGAATTTACAACAGAAAATTATTTCTATTTTTTCATCATTTTATTTATTTTTAGTATTAGTATGAGTGTGTGCTTGCATGGTACATATGTGAAGGTCAGAAGACCACTTTCAGGAGTTGGTTCTTTCCTTGCACAGTGGGCCCTGGAGTTTGAACTCAGATCATGAGGCTTGCATGGCAAGTGCCTTTATCTGCTCAGCTACCTCACCTTTATCATTTTCTCTATGTTGATGCAAGTTATTAAACTATGTACATTATGTTATGGAAGTATTATACAAATGGACTTCATTATAGCTTTATTTTTTAATGTAATCTTAAACTGCTTAACTCATTTTCAATTTCAGAATTCATTTTGTAATCAAGCATATTCCTATTATTTAATGATGCCAATTTCATAGAGAAATTAAAAGTAAAGTACAGAAGTTTCTTATACATTCCTGCTCTTATATATGGACAGCTTCACCATCGTCAACACCAAAGCGATATGTTAATAACAAATGACTCATCATACTCTCACAAAATCCCTACTTTTCAATAATGTCCATTCTTGTTGTCCAAATCCTTTAGGCTACGACAAATGAATAATGATGTGTATCACTACAGTCTCGGTAGAGTATTTCATTCCCCTAAAATCCTACATACTCTGTTTCTCTGTCTCTACTCCTCCATTTCTCTATTAACAATTTCCTATCTAGATAGTTTTGCTTTTCCTAGCCTCACACAGGAGGTATCATTTCAGATATTTTTCTTTCACAAAGTAGTATGTATTTATGTTTCTTCCACTTTTTTGGCCTGAGATAGCTCATTTTAAAAGCACTGAGTAATACTCCATTGTCTGAATATACTACAGTTTATATGTTGATTTGCCTACTGAAAGATACCTTTACTTCAGCCTTTTGGTAATTTATTCATTCCAGAGATGTCTATATTTTTGTATTTTGTGTGGACATGGGTTTTCTTTGATATTTCCTTTAAGTAAATACTAAGGAATATGACTGCTGAACAATATAATAAGCATGTATTTAGTCTTGTAAGATCCTGTAGAGCCATGCTGTTTGCATCCCAAAGTGGCTGTACCAGTTTTCTCAAGCCACAGATGAGAATTTCTGTTGCTCTGTATCATCTCCAACATTTGATGCCTTTCCTTGAGTATATGAGGTCTTTTCCATCTTCTGGTATCTTCTTCTTCAAATTTTTTCTTCAAAATCTTAAAGTTTTTGTTATACAAGTCTTTCGTTTCCTTTCTTAGATTTATTCAAAAACATGAGAATTATGAGTCTACTGAGAATTGGATCATTTCCTTGGTTTGTTTCTCTGTGTGTTTGTTTGTTAGTGGTATATAGGAAGACTACTAACTTTTGTATGTTAATATTGTATCCTGCTACATTGCTGACTACAAAAAAAGCAGACGAATCATATAGAATTTCAATAAAAATAATACGCAGAATTAAAACAAAACATGATAGTAATGTCAATAAATTACAACAATGGGATCAATAAATATATATATAGAGAGAGAGAGAAAGAGATAGATGATAGATAGATGATAGATAGATAGATGATAGATAGATAGATGATAGATAGATGATAAATAGATAAAATACAAAGATCTTCAGATTGGCTCATCAAATAAAATATATGAGATGCATAAACCAGTTTCAAAAAGGCAGTTACACTAAGAAAATACAAAAGAAGCAAGAATTTTAATCAGTATATGTAAAAAAAAAAACACAAACAAAAACAAAAACAAAAAAAAAAATCCTCAAGCTAAAAAGAACTAAATCAAAACTTTTTTTTTTCTCCTGGGAGACAGGGTCTCATCATGTAGTTTATGGCTGGTCTAGAACTCCTACACAGACCAAGCTGGCCTGGAACTCACAGAGATCCACTTGCCTCTGCCTTGTGAGTGCTGGGCTTAAAGGCATGCAGCAACTTGTCGGGCCCATAAAAACATTTTTATAAACTATTTATGTATTTATTTATAAAATACATAAACGAGTACATGTGCTTTTGTCAATAAAAATTTATGTGTACCATATGCATGCAAGAGTCACAGGCCAGAAGAGGGCAGTGGACCCCCTAGAACTGTAATTACAATTGGTTGTGAGTAGCCATGTGAATGTTGGGAACCAAGCATGCTCTTAACCACTGAATGATCTCTCCAGTCCCTGAACACATTTTAATACTACAGAGTCTGCCTCTAAATGAAGAAACATCTAAACAACATAATTAACAAACAGAACTTAAAGGTATATCTCAACCTTTCAATCTCAATGGTAGAAAATGTGTTTTTATGCATCATAAAACGATCTGAAAAAAAGGGCATAAATTAAGCTACAAAGAAAATCTTATTAAGTTCCATGCAAAGGAAATACAAACAACACTCTCAGGTAAGAATGCAATAAATCAGAAATCAACAACAACAAATTCTTTTATTATTTCATTGCAAAATAATTCTTTATCAAAGGAAAAACATAAACTATAATTGAAGAATATCAAGGAAAGAATGATGATACTATAAATCATAATCTATAGCATACAATTAAGGCAGTGACCAAAATATCTAAAGTCTTAAATAATAATAGCAACACTTCAAAATTGGAATAAAGCATCAAAAAATAACATTTTTAAAACAAAATCAAGGAATAAATGTCAGTTTTTTCATGTGTGGTAATGGTTTATGATTAAGTAAATATGATTCTGAAAATGTCTTAAGAAAGTATACACCAAAAAGTATTCAGGTGAAGGGTCATAATGCCTGCAACATGCTTCCATGTGACACATATGCACAACAACCATACAAACATACACATGCACTCATATACAAAGTGAAACTCCAAGCTGACTCTAATGGTTGCAGGGTATTCATTTCATCACTTTCTGTTGAAAAGTGGGCATACAACTACAATAGAAATATCACCCTATTCAAGTACAAAAAGTCAACGTCAATGATGGCACATTTATTACAGGTTGTTTAAGGGGGAGGAGTGTCATTTTCCTCAGTGGAGTAGCCAATGATAAGGTGTCCATTCTCTATCTAGTAAATAATCTCCCACCGAAACAAAAAGTTAAGTTTCAGTTTCATGTATGAGCAGTACATATTTTTTAAACTGCCTGAAGTTAAATCACCAGAGTAAATCTCTCCTTACTTAAGGGCAAAAATCAGTGATATTTACCACATATATATCATTTACTGTCTGACAAATGCAGTTCTAATTATTTTTACATGTATTAATTCAATTATCTGAAAATCTGACAAACTGTCACCACTTCCATTTTTTAGGTAAAGAATAAGGTCTGGCAGTACCAGACTCTGAGGCAGAGGCTGGCTGTGAAGTCCCAGCTTTAACTCTATCATGCACTGTCCTCTCAGTCAGAGTAAAGTACGTGTCCAGAACCACTGACTTGATTTTGCAAATGTTAAAACATCCACCAGGTCTCTGAATTTAGCAATCCATGCAAAGACAACTACTTGCCTATGAAAACACTTTAACTGTTTATGTGACTCAAAAGCTTATATAACATTCTAGAAATGGTATTAATTCACATAGAAAAATAATGTTCACAACAAAGCACTGTAGCGAAGACAATTAGTATAACATGTCAGCCAATGAGCCTGAAGCAAAGAACAGATCTAGGTAACAGAAAGTTATTGTTAATTTTCTTTGATGTCATCATGGTGTTGTGAATAAGGGAAAGATGTTTCACTAGAATGCACAGATACACAGTTTAACTGGGTCATGTCACAGAACCTTCTATTTCTTTAGTAAATAGAAACTTATTAGTATTACTGTCCTCTATGTTTATACTTATTTTTATTCATATTTATATGGTATACTGCATTTATATTTATATTTATATTTATAGGGTATATTACATTTATTTATTTTATAGACAATAAATACGTTGTTACTATAAAATTAATTTTCAATCAAATATTAAAGAACTGGAAAAAAATATGTATGGAAACATTTCTCATCCCTAGACTGCAAAAGGTAATAAGCAAAATAAAATTCTAGCAGGTAACCAGTTCCACTAAACATACAAACACATAAAACTTTACCTGCTTTTTCTTTCGATTAGAATGGCTGCATATGAGGCTGGTAAAGCAGCACCAAAGCCAGGGGTCCATGAGTAGAATTTTCCAAGTATCTTCCTGAAATTCAAATTTAAAATTTTTATAGTAAATTCCTACTTGGTCATTTCAACTATTACAATATAAGTTTCAAATCTCTGCCCACTGTATATCCAAGTATCCCACAGCACTTCAAATTCAATATATCCAAAACCAGACTCTCTCTCCCCCAGGACTATGCAGGGCACATGGTAAGTACTCAGTAGTACTGGCTTTTTCTAAAAGTATTATTATTATTATTATTATTATTATTATTATTATTATCACAAAAGTCATCATCATCATCATCAAAAAGTTTTTGGATGCTGTTTGGTTTGGTTTTGATTTTGGTTTTTGAAACAGCGTTTCCTGTGAATCCCAAGTTGCCCTTGAACTCACTATGTAGCTCAGGCTGGCCTCTACTTGAAAGCAGTCCTCCTACCTTAGTCTCCTGAGTGCTATGATGACAGGCATGTGCCAGCCACCTGGTTCACAACAGATATTTAACAAATGTATTCCTTTTAAATTTTTTTTATTTATTTACATTTATTTTATGTGTATGAATGCTTTGTTGCATGTAAGTAAGTACACCACATGTATGCAGTGCCCATGGAGGCCAGAAGAGAGCACTGGATCCCCTGGAACTGGAGTTACTGACAGCTATTAGCCACCATGTGGGTGCTGGGAACCAAACCTGGGTACTCTGCAAGAACAGCCAGTGCTTAACTCTGAGCCACCTCTCCAGCCCCAAATGAATCCCTTTTATGCTGTAAAATAGTTAATAATGTCTTCTTACAGTGCTTACCAAAGTATTTTATTTTTTTAGATTTGTGTGGATACTATTTCTCATTCACTAGAATAAGTTACTTGAAAGTAAGAATCTGCACAGTATCTAAACATTATAAATGGCACTAATTGCTTGAGTTTTCAAAGACAAAGGAAAAAAAAACTAATCTACAGATGCCAAAATTTTTTTTTCTTTCAAAAGAATTATGTTCCTAAGGGAGAACCAACATCTAAACATTTTTAAATGGCTAAATGATACATGATAGGAAGAAAAAAAAATTATACACACACACACACACACACACACACACACACACACACGTGATATATGTATATATAACTATAGATACAGATATATATGTAGAGCTTTTAAGTCTGGATTTAAAATGATTAGAAAAATTATTGTGAACATTTAACTTGATTATTTATGAGACATTAAAAACCTTTTGCCTGAAAAGACTAAAGGCAGTTTTTCTTTAAATGATGCGCCAAGTTACTGAATGTAACGTTAAAGGAAAAACTATTAAATGAGCTATAGGAAGAATACGGATGTTAACTTAATGTTAAATTCTGCTTTCACACTTTAACCAAATAAGTTCACAGAACATAAATGTCCTATATTAGCAGCAATTTGCACATTGTGTGATTCTAGTCTTATTATTTATGAACTCATTTTTAAAAATCTTTTTAATATTTTATTTATTATTTTTAAGTGTATGAGTGTATTGCCTGCATGTATGTGAGTGCACCCATGTCATGCAATGCCGCAGAGGTAAGAAGAGGGCATCAGATCCCCTGGAACTGGAGTTAAGGATGGTTCGTAGGCACCTTGTGGGTGCTGGGAATCAAACCTGGGTCCTCTGCAAGAGCAATCAGTGCTCTTGACTGCTGAGCCATCTCTCCAGCCCCTTATGAACTCAATTTTATAGAGTTTTCACAAGTCTTCTTCTCCTTCCATAGACCACATGATTAAAGTTCCTTAGATATTCATGTCACTTTAAAGATACGATCTTCTCTATAGTATAAAAAACATCAGTTACTTTCTACACATAGTAAGCTTATAAATATTAATAGTCCAGGAAAAATGTCCATAAAAGGCATTGGAAATTATATACTCAGTTACTAACTAAAATACACAGTACTACTGCAGGCAAAGAAATTCGAGGATAAATGAAGTGACTATTTTGGCATGACAGAGAAGTTTATTTTCTTTTTTATTTATTATTTTTATCTAATATGTGTATGAGTGTTATGCCTGCATGTAGGTAAGTGCACCCTGTCATGCAATGCCCACAGAGGACAGAAGAGGTTGTCAGATCCCCTACAACTGGAGTTACGGACAGTTGTTAGCCGCCATATGAATGCTAGGATTCAAACCCGGGTCTTCTGCAAGAACAGTCAGTGTTCTTAACTGTTGAGCCATCTCTCCAGCCCCAGAAAAGTTTATTTTCAAGAGCAGTGAGAAAGATAAGTATCTAATAAATATTGGGTTTGCCACAGTTTTCAAAGTTACTGAATGTGTAACTGCATCTAGTGTATAAGGCAGGCAGTGCAGATAACAAACACAAGATTGAGTGAGGACCAAGCATTCCAGCAGAGTTCTTTGATACATCAGCATGTCTTTTATGGCCCCAACCTTATGTCGCAGACAGCTGACTGAATTCCTGATCATTCCTAAATTCTATCCTGATCAGAAATCCTGACCAACCATTTCAAAAATATAATAGGCCTCAGAAAATGAGTGATGTATTTCAGCATTTTTGCTACATAATCATGCAAATGATTTATAACTTACATTACATTGTGAGGCCAAAAGACCCAAGGCTCCTAATTTTACAAACTTTCCTTAAGATAAATGACCTAAGTAACAATTATTTAACATTTATTTGTTTATATTTTAACAGGAAATTTCATTAACATCTACTGGTGATTATGAGTACCAACCTTAAAACGCAAAAGAAAGTAATATACAAGGCCCCATTAGCAGTCAAAAATGAAGCGGATTGCAGGATTTCAGGAAGTAGTTTGTATAAATAATACTCTAATTTTCGTTTCCGGAGAATTGCTGCAATCTGGAAAGAGAAAAGCTTTTTTGTTTAATTCAACCAACTGCTTCTACTTAAATTAGCTCTTATATGCTACTGATTAAAAGTACACATTAAAACCTAGAAGAAAAACTATGACATTTTCCTGGTCCTTGGAAAAACAAAGTTTCTAGAACAAAAGATAGTTTAATCCACCAAAGTTAAAATAACCACAACATGAGTCATATAAGTCATCTCCAAGGTAGGTTTGTGTAATGCTATAAAAAACAGCTTTCAGGTGAAAAATAAACTTTTAAAAGGAAAAGATAAATTGTAATCCAAGTAAAAATTACATGCTAAAGCAAAACTACATTAAACTATATCAGCCTACCATTATTAAGAGAACCTCGGAGATAGAAACCAAACAAAACAATCATTCATTTATCCAAACATAGCAACAAGGAAGGGAAGGAATCCTAGGAATAAAAAAAGTAACAAAGTTAATGATACCAGACCTTCTAAAGGCCATGAAGAAAAAGAAATACGAGAAGCCATTATTAAGAATCTAATGATGGGCCAGGCTGAGGTGGCTCAGTGGGTAAAGGTACTTGCCACTAAGGCCGAGGACCAGAGAACCATCTCCAGAACCCACATGATGGGAAGAATGCACTCCTGCCAGTGGTCCTCTGACCTCCACATGGGAGACACACCACACACACAGACGCACAAAGACATACACTCATACACACACTATACACACACACACATAAGTAAATAAATATAAATAGTAAATAAATAAATGGAAGATACTCTAATGATAATATGACTAAGCACCAGATGCTACAGTGCAGGAATAAGTTCCAAGACAAAAGTACTAAAGAAATTTATGACAGGGATACTTACAAAAATTATCAACCTAAAAGTGATGACTTTTAATTTTAAATTGAAAAATATTAACTTACCAGTCTTTATAATTTAGCTCTTAAATTTAGATTGCAAAAAAGAATGATTTCTAGATTAAAACAAAACAACCAAAAACCCTGACAGAGCTGTATTGGTATATTAAAATCAAGTACATTAATTGAGTACAGGAAATTAAATATATTATCCTTATGTGCTTACGTAGGGATCTAAATGATAAAAAAGTGGTTCAGTGTCAGTAATCTAATACATAGCACCATGGAAGCTTAGTAGAGTAAATTTAATCCTGGGGTAGAAAGAAGTTTCAGGGAAGAGGGGATATGGGCTGGGTTTGGAAGAATAACAGAATCCTTACAAGTCCTGAGAAATGAATACTTTTCCATCATGATGAAACAGTGTTTGAAATGAACAAAGGCTAGAACCACATGATTGGGGAATTAGGGAGGAGGTACAAGAGGGGGCAAAGCTAAGGGAGAGCAGGAAGACTCCATTCACGCCCTGTGTTTCCAGAGGTAACGCTTCCCTAAAGTCAGTGACCAACAAGCCTAACTTCTTATTTCACCCCTTGGAGTGTCTGAAACTGACCCTCTCTCCAATTTCAATCCAACTGTCATACATAGGGTGAAAAAATGAAAAATAAGACCTAATCCTTATCTTCAAAGAATATTAAAAATCTTTATAAAGGGAAAAAGCATAAATAACAAGCATAATATGGCAGTGTAGTAGAGCTGAACTAAAGAACAGGCACTGCTCATGAAACACGGTAGAATGACTATGGGAGATGAGAGTGGGAGGTGAGGACATCAGGAAGATTCCACTGCAGCTAAGATGGGTCGTGACGTTCCTACAGCTTCCATGACAGACGCTCTTTTCTTCCTATCTCCAAACACAGCTTCTTCTCAGCAGCTTGTCGTCAGAGCACTACTTAACTCTACATGCACTTCCACCCACAGCACTGTCATCATCTGAGTACAAAAATTCCTGTCACAGCCCTCATCTGTCCCCCAAATTCTGTGTCAGCACTTTGAATGTCCGTTGGACATGTCAATACAAAGGTCCACAGGCAAAGAAATCAACAGATCCAACACAAAACTCAGCACATTTCCCAAATATGCTTTTACTTCTGAGTTCACTATCCCAAGTAAGAGCATCATTTCTACCTAATTAGGGATGAAATGCTCTCATTTTTAATTCTTCTTTCCTGCTCAGCCTATTTCTCCATTTCCAGAATGTAATGCTTCTTTCATTTGAGAGTTAACAATGGGCAGAATCTAGTAGTTTCATAGTAGCACAAGGAAAATACTCTTCTCCATCCCAGCAAAGGCAGAAATTAAACTGCCCTCATATGTAGGTGTGGTGGTTTGAATGGGAATGTCTCCCAAAGGCTGCAGGTATTTGGACATTCTATCCCCAGTTGGTGGCACTATTTTGTGAGGTCTTAGAAGGTGTGGAGGATGCTGGAGGAAGCACATCACTGGGGGTGGGTTTAGAGAGTTTTTAAGCTTTGCCAGATCTGGAGTTGCCCTCTTGCTTCCTGTGCCTGCTTGAGAATGTAAGAACTTAGCTTCCACTCCTCCTCCAACAACCTCTGCCACCATACCTCCCCGCCATGATGGACTCCTGCCCCTGTGGAACCATAAACTAAATAAACTCTTCCTTTTATAAGTTCCCTTGCTCAGTGTTTCTATCATAGCAACAGAAAAGTGACTAATATAGTAGGTAAGCTGTCTACATAAAAATATGAAATTATAAGATAAACATAAAGGTTACAAACAAAAGGGACAGAAGAAAAACGTACAAAAAGATTTAAGATAAGCATACATAAACAAATTTCCTATATGAGAAATATGAACACATGAACAAAATATTAAAACTTCAGTGGCATTTATACTTCACAAGTATGAAATACTTCAGTATGAACCTAATGCTTAGGTACAGACCTATAACATACATTTACAGGATTTGTATGATGAAAACTACACAATGCTGATGAAAAAAACATAGACGTACACAGAGAGATATGCTATTAGTCATCTTTTTAGCACTGTGACAAAACACCTGAGGTAAATAGCTTAGTAGGAAGAAAGTATTTTTAGGCTCACAGTTTCAGAGGTCTCAGCCAAGTTCAGTTGGCCATGTTGCTTCTGTGCATGTGGTGAGGCAGTAAATCAGAATGGGATGGGAGCATGTGGCAGCTAGAAAGAGGAGAAACACAAAAAGGAACCAAGGTCCCAATACTTCCCCCCAAGGCATGTTCCCTGTGGCAGTCTGAATGAGAATGTCCCCCATAGGCTCCAAGTATCTAGACATTTTGTCCCCAGTTGGTGGTGCTGTTTTGGGAGGTCTTAGAAGGTGTGGCCATGCTGGAGGAAGCAAATCACTGGGGGCGGGATTAGAGAGTTCGTAAGCCTTGCCAGATTTCTAGTTGCTCGCTGCTTCCTATTCCTGCTTGAAGATGTGATCACTTAGCTTTCTGCTCCGGTCACTTCCTTCCCCATACCTCCCCAACCATTATGCACCCTTACAAACCAAGAACCATAAGCTAAGTAAACTCTTCCTACTATAAGTTCCCTTAGTCATGGTGTTTCATCACAGCAACAGAAAAGTAACTAATACACCCCCAATGGCCTAACTTATTTCCACCTGGCCCCACCTATTAAAGGTACCTCAATTTCCCAATAGCATCAGTCTAGAAACTAAGCCTTCAACACATGGGTCTTTGGGGTGAGATTCAAAATCCAAACATAGTACATGCCATGTTCATGGATTAGATGTCAATTTCCCACCAATGTGATATGCAAATACAACTTAATTCCTATCACAAGCCCAGAAATTTTTCTGTAAGCATTGGCAAGCCTACTCTAGAATTTATATAGAAAGAAAAAAGAACTAGAAGTGAGTAAAGTGGCAGAAATCAGTCTATCTCTTCTTAGAATATTATTATATAGCTACAGTATCTGACTATATAATATTGATGATAAGACAGACAGACAAATGGAGAAGAGCACAGAGCTAAGAAGTTCATCCAAATAGATCTCATTTTTGACAAAGGCGCACAAACAGTTCCAAAGAGAAAAGACAGTCTTTCAAAATATGGTCCAACTCACGGACATCTATATTTCCCTGCAGCCTGAGCACCTTCACTCTCTCTCAATCACAGTCCTCCCCACACCCCTTCTAGCCTTGGGCCCAGGCCTCCTCCTGCTCTTCCACTTGAGCTCTGGACTAGCTTCCTAACCCAAACTAGCTTAATCTTCTAGCCTAGTTAGCCCCTCCACAGACTGTCGTCACCCCCATCTTCCCCCTGGCCTCCTTATCTGCCTGACAGAGACCCACCTACTATCCTGATGGAGGCTATTACAGAGTTCCACAACTGGTCACACAGAGAGAATATATGTCTAGGAGATGCCCAGACCTAAGTGACATATCTACAGCAGAAATTCTGCACCTAAAGCTCATGGAACATAGCAGAACAGGGGAGAGAGAGAATATTAATACATCCTTCAACTCTCACCAGTGAAGCTTCTTCATACAAACAGACTGTGATGCACACAGAAGGCCACAACTGGCCAAGTTTTAGAGAATAAGAGACTGCAAAGTGCGTGTCCCTGGATAGGACTCCTATATATTAAACCTCACTCACCCACAGCTCAGGGACCATTGTGGCAGAGTGGCAGAAAGATTGTAAGAGTTGGGGTTGGTAAATGAACATAAGGAAACAGAGGCTTTCAGGCCACTGGGAACTTATTCAAAGATACTAGCAACAATGGTGTCAGCATGCAACAAGAGCCATGACGACTCAATCAGACAAAAACTCAGCATAAAATGAGGCAAATGGGCAGCAGGCTCCAGGCCTAGCCAAAAAACTATTAGCAACTGATTACTACTACTGGGTGAGGGAGAGTAGATTTTCTTTAAGATCTCTAGATAGGCTGACTAGGCTCCAGCAGATGAACTTGCACTGAAGGATACTTGGATACAAATGCTTGACCAAAGAGGACTTAATATATATAACAGAATGCATGAAATCCAGTGGGGGAGGGGTTCTAAATTTGACTGAGTTCTATTATATGAAATACAGCAACACTCAACTTAAAAAATATATTTAAAATGGGAAAGAGAGGGAA